AATTGCTATGTAATTGTTTAAGTAGTTTCATGACCGTTACAGCATTATGTGAAAGACTGAAAGTCAATCCGCAGACTCAAGATCCGACCGTTACAGAGCCTAACATTTAAAGGTTTCTGGAGGAAACACAACGATTCTGTGAAATGTGAATCAAAGCCAAATCCAACACTTTATTTATTTATTTGATTGATTAATTTCACGAAATCAAGAAATGGGAGGAGAGCAATTTGAGCAGGAGGAAGATGCACAAGGGCCAATGGAGCTGTTGCAGAGTCTGAGATCCAAAGCGACGGAGCTTCTTCTCCGGGAAGAATGGGATGAGTCTATACATGTTTACACCAAGTTCATCGATCTCTCCCGGAGCGAAATCTCAAACCTTTCCGGATCCGACCCGGACCCGGACCCGGATTCGATTCCCAAGCTCCGGAAATCACTCTGCTTGGCTCTCTGCAATCGCGCTGAGGCGAGAGCAAGGCTTCGCGATTTCTCGGAAGCGATGCGGGATTGTGATCGAGCACTGGAGATCGAAACCACACATTTCAAGACTCTTCTCTGCAAAGGTAAAGTTTTGCTCGGATTAAGCAAATACTCATCGGCCTTGGAGTGTTTCAAAACGGCTCTGCTCGACCCGCAAGCGAGTGATAACTTGGAGACTGTGACTGGGTACATTGAGAAATGCAAAAAGCTCGACTTTCAGGCAAAGACTGGAGCTTTCGATCTTTCCGATTGGATCCTAAGTGGGTTTCGTGGGAGATCGCCGGAGCTTGCCGAGTTTATCGGATCAATTGAGATTAAGAAATCTGAGGTTAGTGGGCGTGGGTTGTTTGCAACGAAGAGCATTGTTGCAGGAGCTTTGATCTTAGTGACAAAGGCTGTTGCAACAGAGAGAGGGATCTTGGGAAGTGGAGAGTCTGGTGAGAAAGCGCAATTGATCATGTGGAAGAATTTCATCGAAGAGGTTGCTGAATCCGTGAGGAAATGTGATAGAACACGTCGACTTGTCTTGGCTTTATCCACTGGACAAGACGAAGACAGTTTGGAGATTCCAGAGATATCTCTCTTTAGGCCTGAAGAAGCATTTGAAAGCTCGAAACAGAGTTTGGATACAGAGAAGCTACTAAGTATTCTGGATGTGAATTCTCTTGTGGAAGATGCGGTTTCAGGTAAAGTTATGGGGAAGAACAGAGACTATTACGGTGTGGGGCTATGGACTCTAGCTTCGTTCATCAACCACTCGTGTATTCCAAACGCAAGACGCCTTCACGTTGGAGACTATGTCATTGTTCATGCCTCAAGAGACGTCAAGGCCGGGGAAGAGATTACTTTTGCTTACTTCGATGTGCTTTCTTCTCCATTGGAGAAGCGGAGAGAGATGGCTGAGTCATGGGGGTTTCGTTGCGGATGCAGTAGATGCAAGTTTGAGAGTGTCTTGAATGTTAGTAACCAAGAGATTAGAGAGATAGAAATGGGTTTAGAGAGAGGAGTGGATGCAGGAAACGCGGTTTATATGGTGGAGGAAGGAATGAAGAGATGGAAGGTTAAAGGGAAAGATAAAGGGTTGTTGAGAGCGTCTTATTGGGGAGTTTATGATGAGGTTTATAACTCGGAGAGGCTTATGAAGAGGTGGGGAAGGAAGATTCCGTTAATGGAGGTTGTTGTTGACAGTGTCTGTGATGTCATTGGAAGTGATGAGAGGTTGATGAAGATGGTTGTTGAAGGGATGATGAAGAAGAAGAAGAACAATGGAGGTTGTAGTAATGTTGCAGAGATGGAGAGAATAATGAAGCTAGGAAAAGGTGTTTATGGCAAAGTGGTATCAAAGAAGAAGGCAATGAAGACTCTTCTTGGCTTAGAATAAGAATCTTTAGTATTCACATGTAACTGTTGAAGCTAATTGCTTGTTGGGTCATTAGAGAGATAGAGAGAACCATTTTGTTTTCTTGTCACTCTTTGCCACATGTTAGAAATCATCCAATGATCTTATTATAAACGACAGTCAAATGGAAATAACACTTGTTTCTTGAAAATCATTTGTATTAAAAAAGAGTGTCAATGCTTATGAAGTAGCATAAAAGAAAAGGGACGATGGAGAAGTTTTATTCGTCGATCCAGTGATCTTGGTTTGCACTTGCTCCGGTTTTGTCCATGAGCAACACATCTTTCTGCTGTTTCAATTGATTAACCAGCCTGCGGACGCTAGGAGTCTCGACAGTCTTGGGTTTGGTCTCTTGGATTTGTAAATCCTTTTTGGCACTAGCGTACGGTTTAGGAGGAGGATCCTTATCTTGCAGTTTCGCAAGCTCCTTGAGGCGTTTGTATGCTTTCTTCTTCTCCTTCCTCTCCGAAAGATATTCCATCTGAAAAACAATATCAAGAATCTAATACATCAACAACAAGAAGAAGAACAAAAACATCTATTTCAGTGCAAATGTCAGAAGCATAATTTGCTTGTTATGCCTTGAGTGGCTAATCATAGACTGTGAAAAGAAACTACGTACATGGGCTACAGACATGGCGTCGTCCTCGCTGATGCCATTCTCAGTCAGCTGGAGGATGCGACAACCATAAACACGTGCTGGATCAGGAATAAACGCCGAAGCCCTGTGGGATTGAAGATGACAATGCATTACATAAAAGATGTTAGAGTTTGCAACGAGAAAGAATGGTGAAGGACACAAGAAACTCTCCCGTTTAATCAGAAATGAAGAGAAGTTCTAGCTGAAGACAAGAGACTAAACCAAAATTGTTTGGAAATCGAATTTCCTTATGAAGAACAAACTCGTAATGTAGTCATCAAACTATCTTTGATACAGATGTAATGTAAACAGAAATGCAGGTATATAGAAATGGAGAAATATTTACTTGATGGGGTCGTCAAGTTTTGCTTGAGGATGCTTACGGGCGAATTTACGAACATAGGAATCCTCAGGGAGAACAATCCTCTGGATTTTACCATTAGAGCGAGGAAACACAGGAGGAGGTGATCTGCCATTAAAACCAGTCACAGAACATCATTTCAACAACAGTAAGAAACTTGGATCCTAAAATCCTAAATCCAGAAAAATCTCAACTTTTTTTTAATGAAACTAGAATTCAATTGCAACCCTGTGATGGATAAGTCAATAAGGAAGTATCTAATTCGAAGAACAGATCGATCAAATGAATCATTTTCTCGAGAAAATTTGGAGAGAGAGAGAGATTTACGCTTCCATGGCTTTAAGCCAAACAGGTTCTCGCGTAGCTAAGCCACCAGCAAGCCTCCTGGTTTTCGAAAGTAGATCTCCTTTCATCCACGACATGGTTGCTCACGAGAGCTTTCTTCACTTTCCTTCTTCTTCGCTTGATCTGTAATACTTTACCCGACGACGGAAGCACGAGCCACGACGAGGGTTTCGAAATGGCTCGTTTCGGTTAAACCTCTTGGTTCCTAATAAAACCGGGTACATCACTTGAGAATTGCGGTCCAGAGTCGGTTATCTCGAATCACAGAGATAAATTTTATGGTTCGACTCGATTGGTTAGTTTTGGTTTCCATTCAATTTCATTCATCGCTCGACAAGACGACATCGTTGCGTTCTCATTTGCCCTCTTACTCTCTCGAGTCTTACACTTCCGTCGTCGGCTATTTGGAGAAGTGTATCAATGGCGATGAGACTGACATCGCTAAAACGCGCCGCGGTTGAGTCATGCCGCATCCTGGAAGCTCGAAGCTTGAGTCACATTGCGGCGATGCCTTCGCCCTTTAACAGCGTCATCGATCGCCCCATCGCTATGCCGCCGCTGGTTTCGCCGGAGTTCGATCAGAATCAACCAGGTTCGATCGATGAGAAGAGCTTAGGATTCGGGCTGCCTAGTTTTGCTTTCAGTGGATCCATGGAGCTAATGGCTGTGCCTAAGAAGAAGGTTTGGGAATTCACAGTCTCTTAATTGGTTTTCTCCTTTCGTCTTCCATTGTTAACTATTAAAATTTCTTAGGGTTCTGAATTATTCTGGCATCTGGGATTAGCTGGGATTCAGTTTTTCTCTAGGGTTTTAGGGAGCCGCACTAGTGGACTTATTAGTTAATTGTTTCTGGTAAAAAAAAATGAAATCTTGATACCAAATGAATTGATGTGAGCTTAAAAATGTTGTCTTTCTGGTGATTTTGAGTGTTCATCTTATTCATTTGCTTGTGTATCTTTGGGTTTAAGCTCACATCTGCATTTGATTTGGTTCCTTGAGGTTCACATGTAGTTTGTCTCCTCTAAGGAGTTAGCAATTAGCCAAATGGAAATTTGTATTTTTTTTTTAATGGCTTTGTCCGCTTGGAACACGATAGAGTTAATTGATGCTCTTTTGTGAAATGTGCAGACTTCTAAACACAAGAGAGGGATAAGAAATGGGCCAAAGGCTCTTAAGCCTGTTCCTGTGATCATCCGTTGCAGGTATATGAGATTATTATCTTCCGTTGTTGCTTTATTTGCTTGATGGTTCTTAGTCTATCCATAGGTTGAGTTTAACATGGGAATCTAGTTTTGTGGTTGTGAAGGATTTTGTTCTGTTAGTTTCTCTAGATTTTACCCTGTAGCAGTAGCTGAAGAATAAATGAACATGCTTTCTGAGTCAGTGTTCTGTCCTTGCTATCATTTGGTAGAAAATGCATTCAAGTAACTAGAATGGTATATCTTTAACAAGTTTGATGAAATTTTTTTGGTGTAGTCATCGTGCTGCAACATGAGGCGGCTTGTATGGCCTTAATGATGCTTGATTTAACAATTGTTTCGGTCTTTGTGATCTCAATGTTGTGTTTCCAGGAGTTGTGGACGAGTTAAGCTGCCGCATTTCTTCTGTTGCAGCGGTGAGCGGGTGAACCCTACTGAGCAAGGCAATTAGAACAACTGTTCAAGCTTCCCTATATGATTACTCCTTATTGGATATCTATAAGGAGAAAAATCTTGGTTTTTTTAGTAATAGACTCGAGTGATACGATAGACTTAGCTGACTCTGTTTTGTCAAATGATTTGGGTTTCTGCTGCAAGATATGCTCATGCTTCTTTTGACAAGTTATGTTATTGTCATTGTCATTGCTTGTTGCAAAGTCTAAGCCAGCTCATTTATATATATGTGCTCTTAGACTTGAAATCAATAGCTACATCTATTTTTAAATAAAGAAAAATGTTCCCCTGAAACCATCAATGCATAGTTTACAAGCTCTTCTATCACAGGTTCCTGTCTGTCTCGTGTTGTTGCAATGGGGGATTCTCTGATAGTTCACAGGCATGATCACAGTTCTCTGGTAGTAACATAGATGGTTCATTTTTATATATCCGGTAGGTCTAGGAGTAATCTTGGTTTGGAATCTGATCTGTGCACATTGTGACTGGAACCATGTCATCTTCAGTTGCTTTTGGTTTTCTCAAATGTCACAGTAAAGATCACAACAATAAACCTAAGGTAAGATTGATTTATAAGCATCGTATGCTCATTTCCTTTTTCTTTACAGTTTACAAACTTCCTAAGAATACCAAGAACAAAACTGAAACTCCACTTTTTTTGAAAAACATTTAGTAGGTTCAATCTAAGAGCTAACTACATCTCGAATCTTCCTCTTCATCGTAGTTGAATGGTAACGGAACTGACTTGAATGCTCTGAACTTCCCCACGTTGTTCAAATGCTCGTTCTCTAACCTGTTTTCATAACCCGAACAAAGCCACAACATAACCCTTGAGTTCAAAAGATGCTTTTGGGGGAGGATGTAATGATAGTTTCTTAGCCAAGAAGTTACCTGAAGAAATTCCAGATACCACGACGTATGATCTCAAGACAAGCAAGAAGAGTAACCATCGTTTCTCGATGTAAGAAGGAGAAATTGAAATCCAGCACAGTCTGCAACCACGCCAACCTTAACACAATGTTTACGACCTACAAAGAAGAGAAGACATGAACAAACTTTAAAAAGCAAACCCTAAACCAGGATTTACTGTTCTCTTTTTCTTTCTTTCTTAGCTCTTACCGTTGCAACATAGTAAACGCTTTTGAAAGGAACAAGAAGCTTCTCTCTCAACAAAGTTTTAGATGGGTTGTGAAGCAATCCCCAGTCAAACACAATGTCCCAATACGTGCCGTAAAAAGTTGCCAACGCCGAGAAAACCCACGCAGCGATTTTCCAAGCGTTTCCTCTGTTAAGGCTATAAGCTGTTCTCAAGCACACAGCGACAATGGTCAGTAAATACTTGAGAGCATTGAAGCCTTGGCTTGTGTCTTTCTCTTCGATTAATCTTCGAACACACTGAAGGAAACGTGACAAGTAAGGAATCACAGCGACGATGAAGTAGAATGTGCTGTATACATGGCTTGATCTGCAAGTGTTTTGCCTGAGCCTGAAGTCTCCCCAACCATAGTAACAAACGTAGAACTCCAAACTCCTCAATGCTTGAACCTGAAGAAAGACGGTTGATTAGTCAAATTAAAAAACATTTTGGAAACATGATCTTGAAAGTTATAAGAATGTTATCAACACACAAACCTGACTTGTCATTTGGTCCGCCAAGAAAAAATCCGGAAGATTAACCTGCAATTTTGATGAGAACAAACTTAGAGATTTATCGATGTTGCGAAAACAGAGGATTTGATTGAGTAAATACCTTGTAGAGAGGCGCAGCAAGGCAGCGAAAGACAACCATAAGGAAGAAGAAACGGCTTGACCGATAAAAAATGTTCAAGGGACAGACAATAATAGCTAACACTAGCTGCAAATACATTTGTACAGAGACAAAACGTGTTACTTCTCTAAAAACAGAAATGCTTCAAGATTCATGCATAACTTATAAATGGTGAACAACTTACAGCAACAATAAAAAGGGGAAGAAGTTCAGTTGCTGTTTTGTAGTCTTTGGTGTCAGGATCCATCTCCATGTCAAGGTTTATCAGAACAGCGGCGAGAGCAAGCGTGCCGAGACCAAAGCTTAGAAGAAGAACATGTCTGTAACCTAGCTCTGTTCCTTCTTTGAATCCGAATATGAAAGGGTAATTCACACGAAACCGCTTCCAAAAGTATATGTTTGAAGCGTACATGACCATGTGGAGAACAACAAATCCAAACAAACTGTAAACATACGGTTTGAGAAATCAAATTGGTCAGCAAGAAGAGAGTGATTATTAGTGTTAGAGGGAGAGAGTGATTTATAGATGTTTTTTGGTTTGAACCTGTAAAGAGGAAACATTGTTTCCATGTAGAGTTTATGTCCTCTTGCGTCCATTATATTACGAATATGGACGACCAAGGCAAGAGCAGTCACTAGAGAGACTGTGCAGCCGAAGAAAAAGCCTGTGAAAGAAATAGGGAATTTGATTAAATAGTCATTAAATACACTTTACAATTTGAGATATCTTTTTAGTTACCAGTTGAAAACGTTATTCGATGTTTCTCTTTTTTCACTTTTGGTCGTAAGAGATTCATTCCTTTGGTTCGATTGGAACTGGCGAAATGTTCGACGAAGATATGTTCAACTCTCACCATAAGCTTGTTTATCTGTGAAAATGCAATCAAAGCTCAGATTTTAAGTTTGTAGTTTTATTGAAAGAAAAAAATAAATAGTTTTTTTTTGTAGAGATATTGTATTAACCTCATCAGAGCTAGTGAGGTAAGACTTATCTACCGTCTCCATATATGTTTTTGCTGCACTTCTTTTCGCAGTCTGATAGAATATATATATATGAAAAATATTAATTAATATGTCCTAAGAAACTTGTGTATATGATATTCTAATTTAATCAAATGTTACCTTATCATACTTCTTCATGATCTTTGAAATTGCCAAAGTGTTCAAGAAGCTGAATTAATCATGAAGAGAGCATGGATCAAATCAAAACAATCTTTCTTAACTTGTATTTGTTTTCTCTCTTAGACAATAATAAGTAAGAAACAACATGAACCTGTAATTCTTGAGATGTCGAAGCTTGCGATAAAACACGATCAAGACATTCTTAAGCCGTTCTTCTATTTTCCTAAGATTCTCTTTTGTGAATTTGAGCTCTTCGTTGTTAGAGAGCTTGAGGACGTTTCTAATTCTTGACAGAGGAGTTTCCTGAGTTTTGTTTAATCTGATACGGTCAAGAACACTTGAAGTCTCTGGTACGTTCTCTTTCGTCAAATCTCCATTTTCCTCTACTTTGATTCCCATCTCATCAGCTAATGTATTCCCTTCAAAATCAAACAAACAAAAACAAAAAAAGATTCAAAATTTGTGTCCTTTCATGTCAAAACCTAGTAACAAACAAACAATCTCTGAAAACTTACTGTGTTCCTTGGAATCCAAGGCATTCATATCGACTGCTACTGTTTCAGAGCAGGTCCAAGAAGAAGATGGTTTATCTACTTTGTTTCTGAAAGCAATCAGAGCGTCCATTTGTTTACTCAAAACCACTGCCTCTTTCACCACTTCCTCCACTTTAGACCGGTAAAAATGGTTCACTTTATCGAACTCGAGATCTAGGGTTTTAAAGAAGACAAGCTCTGACTCTCTCCATTCTTCTGAAACTGTTAAGACGGTCGTCTCGTATCTCTCAAACCCATCATCGCCAACCATTGCAGTCACCAGAATGTCCTGGTTTTCGAGTTCCAAAGACGAGGCGGCCCGGCTATATCGCCTTGTCAGGCCGCTGAAGTTGCGGCGGACAGGTTGCTTGTGTCTCAAGGCACCTGATCTGTCTGACCTTTTTCTAGAAGTTTGGATTTCTTGAAGAATGGTCTTGAGACAAGCATAATCCATGTAAGCTTGTTGCCATTCTGGAATCATCTGTGCCACAAACTCTTTCCCAAACTTCATCTTTGTAAATTTCTGTGGATTTCTTTGTAAAAATCAAGAATCCAGATCCAGTTAAAAAACCTCCTTTTGGTTGAGATTAATTTCTCACTTCTCTTTCTGTGTGCCTCACTGAATTGTTGGCTGTTGTGTAAAGAACAGGTTATGAACACTTACGAAGGAGACAACTATATAAGAAAACAGATCTTGAAATATTACAAGAAAAAAGAAGAAAAAAAAAGAGAAAGAATATATAATGAAAGATAGGTAGGAATCTTCGTAAGAAGAAAGAAAGGTTGATAATAAGAATTATCCAGCCATGCAAAACTCGGAGTCTATTCAACGAGTCTCTTATATACATCGACAAACAGTATATTCAATCTATTGACATTTATAGAAACACAGGGATGTTGATTGAGTCAGATACAGATTGGCAAGTGGATTTATTAACAAGTGAGAAAATTCAAAATAAAGGAACTGAAACTGGAAAAAGACGTTTCGTGTGGTTGGCGCTTGGCTGGGCAGATTTGTTTCACCAGAGAAGAAGATCTTTTGTTTCGAGTGACGACGAAATTCAATAATTGCTTCTTTAACAACGCATGTACCAAAAATATTCCTCTATTATAAAGTGGTCATATAATATTATAACATAAAAATGTATAAATAGAAAACGAGTTACCAAAGAACATGTGCAAATAAGAAAAGAAGGTCAAATTCCGTTAACTATTTAGAAGGCATTGAGCGCTTTTCTCGAATCGATGGAAATGGTTTGTGTTTTTACATTTTTTTTTTTTTTTTTTGAGTTTTGAAAAACAACTAAAACTGAAGTAGTTATAAGTGAAAACCTTTATAAAAAAGAAAAGAAAAAAGAAGTAGTTATAAATATTTTTCTAAAAATATAAACGCTAAGAAAAAAACTAATTTCCCTATGGATTTTTCAAAATTTTGATTGGTTGAGTAGATGAATTTTGGAAACTAAAATCAAAAACAAAAACTACTTCTATCCAAAGTAAAAAAGGGTCCGACACATCATGTGTCGGAGACTCGGAGTAGACATATCCAACAACTTTAAAATGACCGACTCTTCTTGTTTTCATCTCATATCAAATAATGGAGTTTGCCCTTTTTCTAAGTTAATAATATCAGCATATGTATAATGATTAAATCATTCTATAGTGTTAAAAGAGTTCTTTGAACTACTCTCCAACGAAGTCACTAACACGAAACATTCTTTCATATTAATTTATCATATATAAATGGCATATCGACCTTTTATATAGTTTGACTGTCTATGATTGGTATCTACTCTATATAATTTGTAATTGGTAAAGGCATGAGAAGAACGTGAATAAGTAAGTCTTCATAATCAGTACTGTACTATTTATGATTAAATTAGTTAAAATGCTACCTAAAAAGATGGATTATCTTTTGGAAAAAGAGGACGCGTTTAGCCCATATTCTTCCTTTTTGTTAACTTTTGACAAACAATCAATCATACTATATAGCTCCAATCATATTATATTATATGTGTAGTTTTCATCATTATCACAATGTCCAAATTTTCATTATGGAACAATTTGTCACAAAGAGACGAATGAAATAGATAGCTTATCATATGAAATAATAAACTTAGAAACGAAAATTAAGAAGAATAAAATATCATTAATTTTGATAAAGAATTCTTGCATAAAAATACTAGTAATAAGTTTGATGGTAACATGCATCAACCACCGCCAAAGTACTCTATCCATTCTAAAACTGTTACGTTGTCTACTTGTCTTCTATCCTAGCCTCGGAAATTAAAACAGTGGTTTTATGGTGACGTGGTATCCCTCGATTATTTTATTGTGACGTGTTATCTCTCAAAATCTTTGCCTTGTATATCACATAATACTTACCAACGCCAAAAACAGAGAAGCACATGTACATGAACACAATGACGACGTCGAAGAGATGAACAAGTCGATATGGAGGAGGGTTAAGGGACTTGAAGGACTGTCGAGTTCACCTGCTTTTATCTCCTTGGTGAATCCGGGCGGAGGAAGAAGATTAACAGTTTGGTGGGTTTCGTACAAAAAAAGACGAAGATCTTTGTCTTGTTAGTAAGATTAGCATTTGGTGTGCTGAGATTTCCTTGGAGAGACCAAGCAGAGAAGAGCTCTGTGGGGTCGTGGAATGGTCCAAGATCTTATATACCTTGGCCCGCAGTGAAACTGGTGGACTCATTTTCCTCCTGTCTTGGGCAACTGTGGTGTTTTGATCTTGTCGCGTGTTTTTCTTTCTCCTTAGATTTTTGTTTGTTTGTTTATTTACAGTATCTCTTTTCGCAGCTTCATTTATCTAAGAATCGACATACTTTTCACGTAAACGGTTAGTTACTTTCTTCTTAGCGTGTCCTTTTTTTTGTTCAAACAAACTTTAGGATGATATGTGCTCCTGTTTCTTGCATCGCAAACTTGGTAAGTTGGTTACGAGAATACCAGCCTTTTAATTATCGGTTTTTACAAAATAAAATGTTGGATTTACAAATTTGGAAGAGAAAAAAAAACATTAGGTATTTCCATTTGATATGTTTTTGTAAAATTGCCAATAATAAAGAAAACATGCTATATATTAATAAAGAGGACCGAAACCCTAGAATCAAAATCACCGGAACCATGGAAGAGATGAGGAAATCTTCAGAGTCTTGTCATGCAACTCAAACGCCTTCGTTCTGGTCTTTACCAGACGACCTGGCTCTCAACATCCTGGCCCGTATCTCAAGAATCCATCATCCATCTCTATCTCTCGTCTCCAAGAGTTTCCGATCACTGCTCTCTTCACCTGAGCTCGACGCCACACGAACCCTAATCGGTAAGCCCGAAGACTGCATCTACCTCTATCTCAAGTGTCATTACGTAAACCCTAAACGTCATTACGTAAACCTTAAACCTCGCTGGTTCACACTTTCCCCAACTCCTGGACAGAAACTCATACCAATGCCAATGCCTTTGTTTCCTTACGAACATCCCGAACACCCAGCCGTAGTCTCAACTGGTTCTCATATTTACCTAATCGGCGGAACCGTCAAGGGAACTAGAAGCAGAAAAGTGTATGCCCTAGATTGTCGACGTCATCAATGGCGTATGCTCCCTGATATGCGATTACCTCGAAAGAATCCAACGGCCGGTGTGATTGACGAGAAGATATATTTATGTGTCTGAAGGTCGCATCATGCCCAACGAAGACAGTTTAGAGGTTTATGATCCAAAGACTCAGACTTGGGACGAGCCATTATCGCCCATCACAGCAATGAAAAAGAGTGTGGCGACGACTGATTCTGAGACTCTTGGAAAGGTTTTGTTTCAGATGAGAGTGAGACTCCATTGGTGTGATTTTGAGGAGTCTGCTGGAATTAAATTGAAATGGAAGAAGGTGAAGGGACTTGAAGGACTGTTGTCGAATCGACCTGCTTTTATCTCCATACGGAACCAGGGCAGAGGAACAAGATCAAAAGCTTGGTGGGTTTCGTACCAGAGACTCGATGGTGGTAGTTTGATTCGTAAGTATGAGATTTGGTGTGGGGAGTGTTAGATCCGAGATAGCACTTGTTAAGACGGGCTATCAAAGATGTGAGTTTAGGAAACTGGAATGCTTAATTCGACTTTTAGATTATCAAGAAAATTACAAGGAAGTAACCTCGCTAACAAGCCTAGCGAGATTACAGTGATGAACAAGAGGAGAGAGTAAAAGCTGGTGTGAAGGCTTAGTGATTTTAGATGATTTTCGGATCCCTTTCTTCATGGGGGGGTCTTCAATATATAGTGTTTACAACTCGGTCGACCGATGAATATCTTATTCGGGCGAGATGGAAAACTCCCTCTTTTGCGATATGGAAAACTTCCTCTTGTCCTTGATCTCTTTCCATTCCTTAAGTCGGCATGAAGATTTATTTACATTTCTCCATGGATTGTGCCTTTCTTCTCAAGTCTTGCCTTACGGGCTCAGGGAAATGTGCTAATTTCTCCTCTAACAAGGAGATTTCGTTTGAGAGACGAAACAGACAAGAGCTTTTTGGGACCGTTGAATGGTCCAAGCTCGTATGTACCTTGGACTCGTTTCCCTTTGCTATTTTGCCACTGTGACGCTTTGATTTTTTTTCCTTCTTTCAAGTTTCTCTTTTTGTGTCAATGTTTAATTCATTTCATACCTGAATATGAAGAACGTTATGATGCTTCTTTCTTAATTTATCAAAGGTTGTTTCTCTATGGAGATCTTATAAATGCATATTGCTTTGTTGAAATCATGAGTTAATTAAGGTGGTCTGGGGATGCGTTACAGCGCTCATTACTCATATGTTACAAGGGTTAATAAGCTAATTTTCAAGTGTTTCATTAGGGAAGTCATCGAGAGATGAATTTATGTAGAGTTGCTAAATTTTAAAAGTTCAGAGATTTGTTAAATGTATAAAGAGTTTATGTTAGATTTGGAGAGAGTTTGTATATTCAGAAAATCAATCGAAATATTTTGTTGTAATAGATTTTGAAAATCTAAGGGTTTATAGGTAGTAAATCCATGTCCATGTTACATGAGTTAAATTGTATCAAATCCATGTCCTAATAACGATGATTTTAATGGATTCATGAAATCGTTAAAACATAAACTTTTTGAATAACAACTGATTTTGTATGGATTTTAAAAATCACCAAACCAATGACAACATATTTTAATAAGATTGTTAGAATTCATAAACCAATAACAAAAGTTTCTGAAAATTTTACGAATTCTTACAAATTCATCTATCAATAACCTCCACTTATACTTTTTATTCAAAATACATGTAATTTTTAAAAAAAATTTAAAATTCACCTAGGTTAATTGACCCACTTCATTGTGAGATTGTGAGCTGCCTCCGCCACTGATTAACCATCGATCTGGCTATCTTTGGCATTAATTGAAAGACATTCCAAATTTGGAATAGACAGTATGGTGGTTCACTAGATTTCATGGATCTCATGGGCCGTTCATCCGAGTTCGATTGGAACTCATAGTGTTCGTTGAATTAGGGAGAAGTTCACTCTGTAGTACTTCAGTGAGTTAGCTAACCGAATTAGCGGATAGGGTATATAAAAAAAACTCATGAGTTAGAGTCGTTTAAATAGCTTTAAGATTTCTGATGATTTTTTTGTTAAATTTTTTTTTGTCTCACTTTTTATTTGTTTGATTTTTTTTTATTTTTTTTTTTTTGATTTATTTACTTGTAGATATAAATAAGAAGAGTATTTTCTCTTCGTTGCGGTTGAATCAGTTTTATTATTGATGGTCCTCACGTGTAAACAATGTAATACAAACGTAAACAACAATTCACCACAGTCCACAGATAAATCACGCATAGAATCTTGAAAATGTAATTCTATTTTAGGGCAATTTAAAGGGTCTTTCTTTCCAAAGGGAGTGAGGGAGTTCCATATTTGTCGTTGAAAACGAGAGACTGAGATTTGGCTGCTACTTGTTTTGAAAGAAAGACATATATATACATATATCTTTTTAACAGAAAAAGAAAGACATATATCTATTTAATTTAATTACAGCTAGTGGACAGCTTCTGTGACATATATCTTTACAGATCAATCTTGATCTGAATCTTTGACTCTCTTTTTATTTTTATGGGGTTGTAACATCAACGTACATGGCTGACTTTTCTACCTACGCGTAAATATTATTTCATTATTCTCATAAAATCGAAGCTTCTAAGCAATATCTTCAACGTTACACATGATTGGAGAGGTGTGTAATTGTTTAGATTGGTAGTTTATTTGTTTAAGTTTGTAACTGAAATTTGCCTTTGTATATGTATTTAAGTTTTTAAACGTAGGATTTACGAATAGATATATAAAAATACGAATAAAAATGATGATCTATGTGAGACCCGTTTTGGGTTAGCCAAAGCCCAATAAGAACCCAAAACAAAAATTGTACATATGTATATACAAGTATCTTCAGCTTTAAAAAGAAACGTGAGAGAGCTTGTGAACCCTAAAGCAGCAGCCGCATTCTCAGTTTGATCCATCAAAAATCGTGCTAGTGTTTGATTGATATTGGAGAAGGAGATACGAAACTGTGGAGAAGTGAGGAAGGAGAAGGGTGAAAAAATCAGAATCAGAAACGGAACTTACGGGGAGATTTCCAGCTGTTTCGTGAGGTCTCAGAAGCTGATTTTGGTATCATCGGAAAGATCGTCTTCTCAGCTTTCTAAACCATCCGAGATCACGGTAATCCGATTTATATTCAGAGAGTTATGGTTATTTCGTTTTGGACGTCGGATCTGTTCTAAGGTTTCAGAGTTATTTTTCCAGATTCTAGTTGAGGTTTTGTGAATCGATTTCCCGACGATCCGTAAGTCACCAGGAGTCGATCTACATACGGTTTTGTAGATCTCGAACCCACGTTTCCAGATCTTCTTTCAGTGGTCCAATCAGAGGTATACTTCATCCGCAAATCAGCTCTAAAGTTTACGTAAATCCTCTGTTCCGTTTCAGAGAAATCTCAGTTTTCCAGTTTTGCTTCCAGTTTCTGCTTGAGGTTTTGGGGGAAGGATTCCGGTCGAACCCGAACGATTCAGACCAGATTGGTGGTAGATCCAGATAGAGGGAGTGTCAGAGAAGGCAAGGGAGTCGAAGTTGGTACCATAGGAGGTATACTCCCGCTTCCAAGTATCTAGCTTGTTGGACACGAAAGTTTGTTTCTGTTCAAACCTGAATCTGTTTCCGTGTTCTGCAAGTTTCAGGTTCAGTTTTCCTACAACAGTCTCAATCCGTTTTCAGCCAAATTCAGGTGAGGGTGTGATCTGTGGAAACATGATTTATATTCCTTCTATTATATTGCAAGATGCATGGCATATAGGCTTTAGATCTGATTGCTAGATATAGGTTCTGTGATGATATGTTTGATATTTATGGAATGAAATGATATGATATAGTGTGATGATATGATGAAATGTTATGGTATGATATGATATGATGTATGTATGAATAAGAGAGGAAGAATCGAGCTATGGGCCATGGTCTTCCCTCGAAACTGGACTGTGATGGGCCGACGGGTTACATGCAGGTCACGAACGGCTGACGAGCCCGGTATGGGAGTGTATGAGCTACGGCTGCCTCCAAGCATGAGGTTATGAGTTATCACGAGGATGACTGAACCTAAGGATGAATGTTACCTTGCATTATAGCAGGGGTATATGATTGCTAGTGTCTAGGTTTATATGTTTTGTTGATTGTGGTATAATGGTAGAAATGTTTATTATGTTTCGGTGGGCAGAAATGATCTCCTCATTGAGTAATTAATTACTCATCCCCCCTTTCCTCTTTTTCCTTTTTCAGGTGTGGATGGAGACCTCGAATAGTTGCTCAAACTTGTCTTGTTTCTTGGTGTTATTTTGGAACCGGGTTTTATTTATTTTATGCAACAAATGTTTTCATTTTATTAGTTGGTTTTCATGAGATTTTGTTGAATGATTTTAAGATCTTTAATAAGAATGGTTTTTAAGATAAGGTGTTTGGAAAATGAGGAATACGGGTGTTACAATCTAAATATCAAATATCCATATCTAAATATATAAGACATGATATCTTTAACTTTAAAAACAATTTTTTTTTGTTTTGTTTTAACTTTAAAAACAAAAATGAGATATCTTGTCTTGACATTTTCATGTATATCTGCGTTTCCGAATTTCTTAATGTACTATGTTTGATACTACATTACGTAATAAAAAATTGGACCAAGATTCTCTTCTTAATATAAGCCGGGATGTTCTTCCGATAAGATAACTCCACAAAACCACATGCTTTGTATTCAAGATTTTACGATACCAATATTTTAAGAGTTGCATTGTTGTTTACC